CTTTTGACAAAAAAAGTTTTTTTAATCAAGCCCCCCCCCCCCCCCCCCCCCCCCCCCCCCCCCCCCCCCGGTCAAGGGTGTCCCTCTTTTCCAATCTGAAAATCTGGTCACCTTACATAAGCACCAGTGGTGAATCGGCTGTGATGGGAGGGGACTGTGGAGAAGTGGGCACGAAAATGTGGCCAGTGCCAATTGCCTTAGACCCCTGTCAGAGAACTCACTGGTAAGGCCTAGCAATTACAATACACCTTCAGAATACTGATTATTAGGAGGAATATGCATCAAAGTGAACATAATTTGAGTGCTGGAAAGCACCCAAAAGTGCAAGGAAAGTGGAACTACCTTTATGGAGACTGTTGATCCGTTAAGCTTTATTTTTTCTTATGCTCATCTTGTACAAAAAGGCCAGTTTGATGTAGTATTTAAAGTACCAAGCTAGAAAGCGGGAGAGCATGATTTCTACTCCTGGCTTAGTGACAAAGCCAATTGGGTAGTTTTGGGACACTCCCTCCCTCTGAGATCTAAGAAGGAGAAGGGGAAGGGGAAGCTATTTCTGAAAACGTTGCCAAGAAAATTGCGGGGACTTAGCAACTGCAGGAGTCAATGCTGACTTTAAGACACAAAAACAAGCAAACACTCACATTTGTAAACACAAACTTTACAGAAATATTCACTGATCTTTTCCCCAAAAGAAAAACATTTGCCATATGACATTTATCCCAAGACAACATAAACATTGTCCATGCAACTAGCCTCCTTTGGGGAAAGTGGGCACATATAAAATGGCTGCATTTACAAATTAATCCCGGTGATATTTTATTCATGCATAAATGCACCCTTGCTTACTAGGAAAAATGCCCACAAAAATATTACAAAGTTTTGAAACAACTGTTTTCTTATCTCACTGAAGGCAAAGACATTGTTGGGGGCAATATGCTGACACTGTAAACTGCTTAGAGAGGGCTGTAAAGCCCTGTGAAGCGGCATATAAGTCTAAGTGCTATTGCTGTTAGTAAAGCAAAAAGGAAGATGAAAAATGAAAATGAATGGGAAGATCTGAAAGAAATAATGAATGATACATGTGTAGCACTCTATTCAAGAATTCAGACATTTAAAAAACCGGAAACAGTGAAGTCTTATCAGTTTCGTTTTGGAATGACTGAATGCCCATGTAATAATTTGGAATCCCAAATTTTAGGAAGGCATGTTTGGAGGAGGAGAAGTTGGAAACAGTACACATTGCAAATGATGGCTTCATTCATTGCCAAATCAGCATACATTAAGCGAGGCCAGATTGATCTACAGATAAAATCTACTTGTCACACACAGATTCTCAAGTGTAGCAAAGCTGCTGCAGTAGATAAAAATTGTGAATGAAGGTTAAAGGAGGTCACCATGGGCTCTGAGCCGCCTTTCTTAAAACTAGCTTGTCACAGACTTTAGCAGCAATGTTTAGTGAATAAGTAGGGGAAAGTGTCAGTTTGCCATTGCTCAAGCATTAGCCGGCTGCAATTAAGCAGAACAAAGCAGGGACCCTTTCTTCCCCAAGCCTTACAGGAAACCAATGCTCTATCAGAATTTGGTGTGCAATCCTGAATCCAGGCAGCAACATGCATACCGCACAGAGAAACTAAACTGATTGCATTTATTAGAGAATGACTCCCCTTCCAACATTTCAACACAGGTAGCCTGGATTCAACTTACAACAGTTCATTCAGGGACCGTTCAATGTTACAACAGCCCTGAAAAAAGTGACTTATGACCGCTTTTCACACTTATGACTGATTCAGCATCCCCATGGTCACATGATCTAAATTCAGGCACTTGCTACTGACTCATATTTATGACAGTTGCAGTGTCCCAGGGTCATGTGATCCACTTTTGCGACCTCCTAATAAGGAAAGTTTAATGGGGTAGTCAGATTCACTTAATAACCGTGTTAGAAACTTAACAATTGCAGTGATTCACTATCGGGATAAAAATGGTCATAAAATGGGGCAAAACTCACTGAACAAATGTCTCACTTAGCAAGAGAAATTTTGGGATCCACTGAGGTCATAAGTCAAGGACTACCTGTATTTAACCTAGCTTATTTTCACCATGGAAAATGTACAATAGATGGAAGATTCTGTTTTTTACACACAATAATGAGTGAGCGCTGAAATTCTAAGAACTCAAATATGCACCTCATTTAATCTTTTTGTTAAAAAAATCATTCAGCAAATAGGTTTTTCTGGTTATTTTATACCACCAATAAAAAAAAAGAATGCACATTTGTTACAAGTATCCTATTTTTTAAAAAAATCGTGTAAGAAACAAAATAGTTTCAGCAGTTTAATCTATTTTATTTAGTTATTTCAAATGTCAATACTTCCCTTTTTGGAAGCAAAAATAAAGTTTGGACAGTTATGACATTTCATTTGTACATGTGAATTTTAAGGTAAAGGCCAGTTGTTAAGTTAGTCACATGGTTGTTAAGTGAATCGAGCCTCCCCATTGATTTTGTTTGTGATAAGGTAGCAGGAGGTGATCACATGACCCTGGGGCACTGCAACCGTCATAAATATGAGTCAGTTGCCAAGCGTCTGAATTTTGAGCATGCAATCACGGGGATGCTGCAATGGTTGTAAATCTGAAAAATGGTCATAAATCACTTTTTTCGATACTGCTGTAACTTCAAATGGTCACTAAATGAACTGTTGCAAGTCAAGGACTACCTGTATAGGCCTCAACGGAATTTGGTGGGGGGGAGAGAGTGCTTCCACCAGCCAGAGTGATAGGCCCTGTGGGATGAGGATGCCCTACTTCCTTCTCCAATGGAGAACCTTAAGTGAATCTCTTGGACCTCCACTCACTCGTTGGCGCAGTGCTTCGGTCTCCTCCTGATATGCTGCCAGCTGCTGCTTCCATTGCTCCACATTGGCATTAGCTTCATGCAAGGCAGCCACCAGTTTGTTGTTATTGTCTTGCAGAGTGAAAAATTCGGCTTCCCACTGGACTTCGCAAACAGACCTGGGAGACATAGGGACAGAAAAGATACAAAGCATTCTAAGTATTTAGAGTGCACCTTTATTGTCATTGCACCTCGTACAATGAAATTAAGTGCCATCTTTAGTGTACATTAGACATAAAAAATAAAACACACCCTTCACATTCTCTACAATTCAACTGAAAATCTCTGATATTGCATTACTATTGCACTGTACAGTAGAATTCAGTACAGTTACTGCTCTGGCATAGAAGCTGTTTTTCCGCCTATTTGGCCTGTACTGTCTGTCAGATGGTAATAGTTCAAACAAAGGGTGCCCAGGATGAGATGGATCCTTAAGAATATTTTGAATTTTCTTAAGGCAGCAGGAGCTATGAAGCATCTTCCAAGGAGGGGAGAGGGCAACCAATAATCCCCTAGGCAGTGATGTTAACCCTCTGGAGAGTTGTCCTCTCTGCCACTGTGCAATTGCAATAATTCACTTATGATGTACCTTCCTATCTTTCTTACAGCAGCTGGCATACTTTCCGTTAATCTATTGTTAATAAAAATGAAGGACAACAAAGTAGGGGAAGGATTTCTAAGGATTTTGAGGGCAGGTATAGTCGGAGATAGTTATCCTGAATTTCAAAGTAAAGGACTTCAAAGGCAGTGCAATAAACAGACTCTAAAAATACCCATACCCAGTGAGCAATTAAGCAATTGTATTTGAATTAACTGCTGTTTCTCATATTGCTTTCAAGATGTATTTCTGATAGGGAAGGAAAGTTTCACTGAATCAATATGGTTGTCACCTACGTGTCTAGGAGTCAAATAAAAACACTATTAAAATACAGTATTATCAATTTAACACAGCATAAAATCTTGCCTTCTACCAAGAAAAAACTCTGGGGAACTGCAGTAGAGCAACTCTGAAGACACACTGTTCCCCGGAGGGAAGCTATTTTTTTAAAATTAATATTTACCTTTCGCATTTAAAGGCATCAGCTGCCATTACAAAACAAAAGTTAACAGTGTAGCCAAGTTGCGTGGAAACAAGTTCCCCATAGACAGCTTTCAAATTATTGGTGCTGGTACTTCTAAACACATGCCATAGGCCCTCCCTTGTTAAGCACACTATGTTGTGTGTTAAAAGGAAAAAAAGGAAAAGAACCAGGTAATTCTCTTGTTGTGACATATCGAGATAGGGAAAAAAACAGGGTGGGAATCTATACCTGGGCTCTGAATAAATTGCATCACAAGTCCTGATTTTGGGGGGGGGGGAGGCAAGTTTTTGGAAAAACCTGATGAACAAATAAACCCAACTCAACGCCCTACTTTCCTTCCCAGGATTCTGATAACAGAGTAGAACTACAGAGCCTACGGGGAGAATATAACTGCAAAAAAAGAAACAGGATGAGAACACCCTGATACTATAGCTAATATGTCTGAATTACCACAATTCTAGAGGTCCCACCAGTGAGGTCACATGTAGAACACAGAAGCAGCTCAGCAGCTCACTGATTGCTACAATACTTTCTTCCGCATTCCAAACTTTTAAAATTTATTCAAAGTGAATTTGTCCCTCAATCTGGGGGATTCTAATAGAATTCATATTTTCAAAGCAGAAGCAATGAATCTAGAGCAGGGTTGTCAAACTCAATTTCATGAGGGCCTCATCAGGGCTGTGGTTGACCTCGGGAGTGGGGCGACTGGGTGGGTGTGCCCAATTGGGTGGGCGTCACCAACTTGACACTACTCCCCAAACTGCTGGCATGTTTCCTCTTCACATTGGGTAGACCAGGACAGCCTTGCAGGCCGGATCTGACCACATTGCAGGCTACATCCAGCCTGCGGGCCTTGAGTTTGATACCCCTGATCTAGAGTAATTTTGGTTTCCTTTGGGACATTTTTACGGCAGCTTTTCAACATAAGCAAAGGTGGCACAATTTTATTGCGACTAACGATCACCTCTGATCCTGGAGTTGGTGGTGTAATTATGGCAACTCTTGAAAAAGTGGTGCAGGAGGTCTGAACAAAAGTTAAATTTGACTTAAAGGAATTCACACGAAATTGGACACAGTTTCATCTATGCTGCAGTAGCTTATTTCAAAATGTTCTTGCTCAAGCATGTGAAAAATTACAGCTTGATAATAAATGTTAGAGGTCTCTGGAGGTTGCATTCACTGTATTCGTGAATTAAAAATTCCTAGAATGGCTTGTAACAAAATAAAAATAACAGCAGCAATACCACACGACATGAAATTAGTAAGAAACTGAAAATTTTGTGAAGAAACTATGCTTTTTCTATCTTAGCAATGTTCATTTCACAAACACTGCGAAAGACAGTATTGTTCTGGCTATGTATAAAGTTTTATCTATGTATGCAAAATGCACAATATTGATAAAAACTACCTCCAAAAAAGCTATTTCTTTGCGATCATATTAGTGTGTTTTTTGCAGGTATTTATTAATACACACATGTACACCGATAATAGAGAGAATTATGCCAATGAATGGGAGGAAATAAGTGGCACAGTAATCAGTACATACTCCAATTTAGCATTTAATTTTAGACATTTTCCTAGGGATCTGAATTTAGCAGGAGCAAAATGCACAGCAGAGTGAATACTAAAGGAGCAAAGCAGGAAATCTCTTCATCACGACTTGAATGGGACACTCTAAAAAAGAGCATTTCATCCATTAGTAGAGAACGAAGTTTTGTGCGCATGAGAGAGAGAGAGAGGGGAAAAAATAGTATCCTTAAGAGAAGGAAGTGCTCTGGTGTGCAATGCTTAAAAGCTATTTGATCTGTCTCTGGAATCACACAGCTGCCCTTTGAAGCTGCCATATGAGCTACAGGAAAAAGTGTGGCTGTTTTAAGACTTGCAGATACATGCTATTTTCTCAACTCTGTGTATTCTAAAGCACCGTTTGTAAAAGTGTGGAGACAGCCATGAAGACGATATGTGACGGCCATTAGCAAAACTTAAGCTTAGCTTGAAAAGACAGGAAAGAGTAGGAAAGAAATTCCAGATTGCCCTGTGTCAATTCCCTTCAGTGTACAAGGAAGGGAAAGAGAAATATACTCAGGTTTTCTATACTCTATGTTAGATAAAGGTAAAGGTTCCCCTTGCACATATGTGCTAATCGTTCCCAACTCTAGGGGAGATGCAAATCTCAGTTTCAAAGCCGAAGAGCCAGCACAGTCCAAAGACGTCTCCATGGTCATGTTGCTGACATGATTAAACGCCGAAGGCACACGAAACACTATTACCTTCCCACCAAAGTGGTCCCTATTTTTCTACTTGCATTTTTACGTGCTTTTGAACTGCGAGGTTGGCAGAAGCTGGGGCAAGTAATGGGAGCTCACGCCGTTACATGGCGCTAGGGATTCGAACGGCCGAACTGCCCACCTTCTGATTAACAAACTCAGCGTCTTAGCTACTGAGCCTATGTTATAGCCTATTATATCAATAAAGCAGAGTTCCAGTATTTTTTGTGGTATCTGTTTCCTGACCCGTTTAAGTTAAAGAGGTGACATTTTGGAGATTGAATCCAAAGCAACAGATAATCCTGAAAAGTAACAAATCCACTGGCATTTAAAAAATAAAACAGGAAATAGTTTCTCAGCATCTTCTTGATAATTCCATTTTGCTTTTGTTAAACCACTCGGTGTAAAATGAAATGCAGAACATGTGAATCACTCCCTAACTGTTTGCTCACCCTTCAGAGAGCATTTTTTTAATGCGCTCTCTTTCTGTTGTCATCTCCATGTCAGCACTCTGGCTCCGGAACAGTTTGTCATCTCCGGGACCATTGGAACTAATGATGGGGCTGGCCAGAATCTGTCAAGCAAAGGAACATGACATTCAAACATGTGAAGGGAGGGGTTGCCTTTCCTATCTTCAAGGCAGCTTGCTAAGAAATTATTCTATCCTCCCCCCCCCCAACACCCACATACATATACAAAAAAAGCATCTCAATTCACCCCACTTGGATTGATTGGCCCACCCCATCCCTGCTGGCAGAGAAGGCATGCTGTAGGCTAGTCGCCCCCAACCTTTAGGGCACCAGGGACTGGTTCCATGGAGAGAGGTTTTTCGGTGGACCGGAGTGGGCGTGGTTTTGCCTGTATCCCTTGGATGGGGCTTCACTCATTTGTGCGGGCTGGTTGCTGGTGTGCAGTGGACCAGTGCCAGTCCATGGACTGGGGATTGGGGGTCCCTGCTGTAGGGCATCAGGGATTTCCGGCTGGCAGGGTCCAAGAGAAGAACCTTCTCTGCCATGGCTCCTGCCCTTTGGAACATCTTGTCCCCACCCACCCCACCCCAAAGGAGATCAGTTCCCACCCTCCTGACCGTCCACAAGAGCTTGAAGACCTGGCTCTGCCAGCTGGTTTGGGACCCCAATGGAAGAGTATCACACTTAGAGGTTGTTTGGTGGACAACCAGATCCCCCTCACCCACCCCCCCAATCCTACTACCGCTCCGCATCCTTCAGTCATAATTTTGTAATTTGTATTTTTATGGCAATTAGATAAATGGGTCTATGATTTTTTTGTTTTTACTGTGGTAAGCCGCTCAGAGTCGCCTTATGGTGAGATGGTCGGCAAACAAATTTAATCAATAAATCTCCAAATGGTTAATCTCAGTGCTGCATTAGAACTTCTGAACGTGTTCACAATCCAGGGACTGTAAAACATTCAATCTTAGAATGTCATCTCTCTCCTTCTTGCATCCAAACCTAGATTAGCATTCTTGCCTTTCTCTTAATTTTTAAGAGAATGCTATTCCTCTGAAATTCTTTGCTGCTGGATACTCCAGCTTGTACAAAAATTATTCTGTTAAAATGGTCAAATAACACTTATATAGCCAAAAGCTCTAGTTTCAGAAATCCCATGTAATCATGACAATGTTTCTATCAACTTCCTCTCTCTGCTCTCTTCCAAGGTTAGTTAAGTTTCTTCTTATTCTCCTCTCCTCCAGGACAATGGACTGTTCAGACATCTTCCTCCTCCTCATGTACTACTAATCCATCTGTGACTAGCCTAGGGAACACATGTCTCATCCTCCAGATCCATCTACCTCTGTTACCCAGGAGATCAGAGGAAAACAGCCATCCCTTGGTGGTGGTGTGAAGGAGACTGTCCTCCAAGCAAAAATCCCTGGTGTCTACTTTCTTCTCTCCTAAGTGACAAGGAGGCAGGGGAAATCAAAGGCATAATTTGTGGACACGTGTAAATCACTCAAATCATATCCTACACAGGCAGCCCCAGCTGTAGAAGCTCTCTACTGATACACTCAATCAAGCCAATTAAACCTAGCGGTTGCATTCAGGCAACATACTGAGCAAATCTGATTCATTTGTTTTGTGGGTTGGCATTCTGTGAAAGCCTGTTTGTTTATGATACAGTACATTGTATGGATCCAAAAACTAAGCTAGAACAGTAACCAAGTTATGGAATCTGCAGAGTGAAAGAGAAAAAAACAACGGAGTGTAGTCCTTCCTAGTTCTACTGTCATCCACTTAAAGTAGTGGGACCCCTGGAATAAAAACAAGAATAAGCTCAAGTTGAAATCAAATTCAGAAAGCCCATTTCTTGTCTAGCAGCACAAAACATTATATCACTGGCCCTCAGAGCCACCTATAGTTCCTTAGCTGCCTTACTTTGCAAAGCCTGACTCTGTTACCTTGTTTCCTGAATTTTTTGTTCTTACACCTGCAGCACTCTTAGCTTTACCTAGAACTAAGCCGACTAAAGTCTGACCTAAGCGTAGTACACAAAATTGTCTGCGACAACGTCCTACCTGTCAATGACTACTTCAGCTTCAACCTCAATAATACACAGGGAAACAATAGATACAAACTCAAGGTAAACTGCTACAAACTCTATTGCAGAAAATACGACTTCAGCAACAGAGTGGTCAACACCTGGAATGCTCTACCTGACTCTCGTTACATCCTCAAACCCCCATTAACTTTAACCTTAAACTGTCTAGCATAGACCTCACCCCTAAGAGGTCTGTAAGGGGGTGTGCATAAGAGCACCAGCATGCCTACCGTCCCTGTCCTATTTATTCATACCCATTTACTGTGTTCATATTTATTTTTATATTTATACCTGTTACATGTTTGTCAAACTAAATACATACATACATACATATATACATACAAACATACATACATACATACATACATACATACATACATCTACTATTGCTGGGATCAAAGGACCTTATCTCAATTTCTTGTCAACAAAAGTTCCCAGTTCAGTTCTCAGTATCTTTTGAACACTGGCTGAATGCAGATACCCTGGCGTTTTTTTTTGCAGCCTCTCAGAGCCCTGCAAAATCATACTACATTTGGCTTCAAGATGCCTATTTTGCACTGTACAATTTTTTTACAAAAATAACAATGAAAAAAAATTGTGAGCCTCAGAACTTTTTCATTTCATTTTATTTTTGAAATAAATCCATGGGCCCTGACTACAAAAAAAAAGGATTCAGGCTGACCTGAATCGTGCTTAATTTGCAGTGAATTCAGCCATCCCACTAAGGACCGGTGGATATGGGGACTTAGTCCCTCCAGACTCACTTGGTGGGAAGTCAAACTGAGAGCAGGGCTGGTTAGTTCAGTCTTATCCTGTGATTTCTCTCTGGCCAAGCGAGCTGCTTCTTTTACTTCTTGGAATTTTGCTGCAAACTGTTTTTATAGTGTACAGAACAGAAGACAAAGAAAATACAAAAAAAGAAGTCATCAAATGCTCTGAAACTTCCAAAATAAGCTGTGAAATGACAACCTTCGTTTTATCAACTTCTCATCCTCCCCTGCCCTCTTTCTTCTCTTTTGCTGAGAACTGTTGATTTCCACATTCTGAATGATAGGAAATCAATGTTTTCTGGACAGGAGTAAGGATTTGGCTGCAGGAGTAAGAGCTCTAAGCATTTTTCCAGGACTGAGTTTCAAATTAACTGTTACCTAAGCAAACACCCTTGTTGCAATAATGGGAAATGCTGGGAAGCAGCCATTTAGAATGAATCTGTAGAGTTGGGGAAAAAATAGTCACCTCATCCCTCTTGTTTCTCCTTTTGGTATAGGAACCTTGCAATTAAGGCATCTTACTTACTTCCAGTCAACTCACTCACCAGTACTGAATACAGTCTGGCAGTTCCACCATTAATCAGCAACTGCCACTAGAAGGAACTTTTTTCTGTTTATTCAAAATCTCCTTCTTGCAGTTTGCACTATGAAGCAAAACACAGAAGGGTCTTCAAATAACTGAAGATCTACTCAGATAATTTCCCTAGTTTTATGCCTCACTCTTCAGCCTGAATTTGTCAAGTAATTTTGCAGAATCATTAAAGGTACACATGGTTGTTTATATAAGGCAAATTGGTTAAGAGTTTCAGACTAAGGAAACCCCTATTTAGCCATGGAGCTCATTGGATGAGACAATCTCATATACTATGTATGTTATCTTACATTCACCTACCTCATAGGATGATTGTAAGAAAAAAAGACAAGGCAAAACCTTTAATACATTAAAAGTGAGTACTATAAGTAATAAAAGATAATTCAAAGAAAACAGCAGGCAAAATATCAGTTTATAATGATGAGAATACTTTCAAAATGTAAATTTCATCTAGTGCCAAAAATATATTAAGTCATACATCAAGCAAGCTTCGGGGGGTGGGGATGGTGGTGTGTTCTCCCCTCTTGTCCAAAAGAAGGGCTGTTAAGGAGGATGAGTCATACTTATATATCAATCTTTCCTAATCCATTGACCTCCAGATCTGTGGAAGTAGAATTCCTATTCTTTCCCTGCCAATGGCTTTGTAGGTTGGGATTGATGGTGTCATAGTCCAATACACCATGAAAGGTGGGGAAATTGATTTAATTTGGTTGCCAATAACTGGTCTTGTTACTCTGTAAAGCTGTAAAATCCTTCCTGAGATTAAAACACTGGTCTTTGTCACTTTAAAACAATGAAAGAAATGAGATCACCCGTTAAACTCTGCCCAGATTTTCTTGGAAAAGCTAGTAGGATCCAAACTATCTTTTAGAAACTTCTTTAGTAAAATGGTCCTTTCCCCATCCAATTCCTATAATTCATCACCTGAGAGAGATGTTGTTCAGAAGGAAAGCCCAGCCCATAGACTGTGTTGGCCCTGCTGTCTGCCCACTGGCCAAACTTCTGTGAGGTCTTTGTGAAGGTCATGTTGGGGGTGATGGTGCTATTGATGATGGCCTATAAGGAAGACAAACAGCAAGACTTTTAGAGTTAGATTAAAAAAGGAATAATTACCACAACCAGCAATTGCATGAATAGCTTTTGACAGGAAGCATGGGTGCAACAAATTAAAGATAGGTTCCCTCACCAGCTTGCTGGTTATCCAGTCTGGGCAGCTCACAAACCACCCTTACAATTTAGTTGTTGAGGAGGTGCTTGCACAATTCTGAACATTGTGCAAATGTTTTTAAATATTCTTCATTGGCTCTAAATCAAGACCATTGGAAAATCTGAATAAGCATACTTAGGAATTTTGCATGATCAAATCAAATTGTTTCATTAATTTAAAAAAATCTTTTTGGGACAGCCAACGCAGTATGATCACAAGGTCGTGGGAGACATGGGTAGAAATTCCCATTCGGCAATGAAGGTTACTAGGTTGACATGAGGCTGTTCATCATATTTCAACTTAATTCACCCCACAGAATCTGTTATGAAGAATTATTAAATAGTATATGTCTTAAGTTTCTTAAGTTCCTTAAAAGAAAAACAGAATAGAATGTATGTGTTCCAGGATAATGTTGCAGGATCCAATCTGGGTCGGTCACTAGGACCAGAGGTTTTGTCTTCCGAGCTTTTGGACTCATTCTGGAGTCCATCTTCGGGAAACTTCTCTCTAGCAGAGTGTGTGCTGTTCTGTGTGTGGTATTTAAAGCAGCTGTTGTAAATGGCTTCCAAAAGCTTGGGAGACAAAACCTCTGGTCCTAGTGACTGACCCAGATTGGATCCTGTGAATATAATTAGCACGATTATTTTTCAGTACTGGCATCATTGTTTTAAAACAAGAAACTGAACATGGGAGAAGCCGCCTGACGTTAGATCTCACCTTGGTGCCTCCCACACTGATGATCCGATAGACATTGCGAGTAGCATCATAGAAATAGGACACTGTCAAGGCATGTTTACTGGCAGGGATCCAGTTCCTCTTGGTGGCAGGATCAATCTGGAAGATGTGGGCCCTGGTGCTAAAAATTGGTTGCTCCCTGCAGAAGTGAAGAAAATAAGAGCATGAGGACCTCAACTGTAGCAGGGAAGAATTAGGCAACCCCTATCACTGAAGGGTGTGTTTCTCTAAGTTCATACATACACAGACACACAAACAAACACATTCTAAATCAAGGGGTTATATGAAGTCCCTGGGTGGGACAAAATTATAATTTAAGAGGCTGATATTGGACAACAATTAACAAACGACATCTTAAACTGTTATTCTTCTTCTTGAATATATTTGTGCAGAAGGAGGAAGTCTGTGGTAGCTAGTTTTAGATATTCACTGTAATCAGAAAAGAGGTATTTTGATATATTTAAGGATGGTGTGTGTGTGTGTGTGTGTGTGTGTCCCCTACCTAGAAATATGCTCTCACACATGCCCATATATTAGTAATGTAAATCAATTTTTTCCCCATTTTTCAAGACTAAAAACAATATTTTCTCTACTCTGACCCAGATCAAATTACAAATGAATTCAGCTTTCTCACTGCTTTCTGTCTCAAAGCTCTAATCAAAAAGAGAATTACAACATCTTTAAACTGTTAATTTGAATGTGCATCCACAGATGCTCTCTCTTCCTCACACGCGCACACACACTCAAGCACACAAACACAGATTATGGGAAGATTAAGATAAGACATTACCTAATTGTTGACATTGGTTAAGACTGATTAAGGCAGCTGGTTTGGCAATAGAAGTAGTTAAAAGATCAGGTCATCTACCATTAGGTTAGTACAGTTGCTGGGCTAATATCCCACTTGAGTTAAGGGTCTGGAAACAATTCATTTCCTACCAATGGAAATGTACACTGTTAATTGATACTGTACAATGCAGGAAAGGAGAAATCAAATGGAAGCAGGACACACATAATATTAGTTTTAAATTAGGACCAACGAAAGCTTTTTAAAGATGTTAATCTGAAATGATTCGCTTCTAAAGGAAAGGCGAAGGAAAAATCCATGCAGCTTCCAAATGTTAGGTTATGACATCTTATTAACAATTCCAAAATTTGTGTCAGAAGGGTAACTAAGGAACTGGGCATTTTCTCATAGATAAAAATGGCAACATCTGAAATCTATGGGGAGCTGTTAAGAATTTTTAAAAATCCACAAACCATTAAATTATATGTTTCCATATCAGCATGGTTTACAAAAACAAAGGTAAATGTCAGTTTGGTCACAACGGGTGAGATATAGCAACAGCTATAAAGGTTTTCATTAAATGTAGGCTTACAGGCAGCCAATGAGTTTAACTGAGCTTAGAAAAGGGTGAGAGAGCAAAAATTATTGGAATTGATCTTTTCTTCAACACTGTAGCATGCTGAACATCTAAGACACATGAAGTTTGAATTTCAGTAACAGCATTTAGAAAACATTTGCATTTACAATCTGCACAACGCAACCAATCTGCATCCTCGGATACAAAGGCTTTGTTGCCTGATGGGACCTCAATTGGGAACCTGCCTTGGTGCCCAAATGCTTCTCTGCAAGATTCTTTCTTTGTGAGGATAAATAGTATTTGAAACACATAATATACATGAAAGCTGTAGAATTTTATAAGCAATAATGTGGGATGGTATATTTTTACTATAATGGGGTAACTTCTATTTTACAATATATGCTACAGGATACATTTCAGCCACATGGGTTGTCACTAAGATTCCTTTTGAATCTTCCACGTTAATGCACTGCAGTATGCAAGTTTTCTAGTCAAACACTGCATGCAGGTAATTTGGAAGTCTGTCTATTGATTGCTTTGATTTCTGCAGTACTTTATGTCCATACATACATTAGTTATACGTAGAGATGCTACCTGGCTAAAAGCTGCTGCCCAAGTTATATTATTTCAATCAATCAGAATAGAGCTGGAAGGGACCTTGGAGGTCTTCTAGTCCAAACCACTGATCAAGCAGGAGACCCTATACCAGGGGTGTCAAATTCATGTCACGGCAGCATCCCACAATGTATCGTGACTTTCCCGCCCTTTGCCCCCTGGGCATGGCCAGCGTGTGAGCCATGAGTTTGACACTTCTGCCCTACATGGTTTCAAACAGATGGCTGTCCAGTCTCTTCTTAAAATCCTCCAGTGATGAGGCACCCACAACGTCTGAAGGCAAGCTGTTCCACTTGTTAATTGTCCTCATTGTTAGGGAAGTTTTTCCTTAATTCCAAGTTACTTCTCTCCTTGATTAGTTTCCATCCATTGTTTCTTGTCTTGCCTTCTGATGCTTTGGAAAATAACTTTGTGGCAGCCCCTCAAATACTGGAATACTGGTATAATGTCACCCAGTCTTTCTTTTCTCTTTCAGCAATCAAAACAGTAGAAACTTGTAGAAATATTAGAAAATTTCAGACGATTTATTTTTATTTAACAATTATTTAGAAATAAACCTCTCTAACAATTAGAAAATGAGAAACATTTAGAAAATTTCAGCAATCAAAACATAAGAAACTTTTCTGTTTCATAGTCAACTAAGGAGAAAATGATCGGGTGATTCAGCGTTACAAAAGAATAAAAAGAACAGAAAGGATAGGGGAGGCAGGAAAGGGAATACTTTTTAGTCTATAGAAGAAAGTTGGGAGCTTGGGACACTTTGGCCTCCCCAAAGCCTGCCCTCTACAGCCAGGCTCACACGTGTGGACATTTCAAAGCAGCTGCTGAGACTGCTATTTCTAATCTTGGACAATTTTACACCCAGTAGTGTAGCTTACATGCCAGCTGCGCATGGTTGCCCAGAGGACAAAGGGCAAGACTTCATCCACAGTTTGAGATTTCAGAGCTGTGAAATGTTTCATACCACCACAGCCTCAATACAGACAAAGAAGTAGTATTCATAATGAGACGGGGACCATCCTGTACAAGCCTGTGGTGACAAGGATCACCCTTCCTGAGTATTTTGAACATCAGCTTATTACAGTGCGCTCACCTGCTCACTGAATAAGGAAGAAAAGCTGGATGTGAGGAGTACAATAAAGCAGAAAAAAGAAATGGAAGGAAACCAATTCTAAGGAAGGAAATGATCCAAGAAAAGAGAAGCAACGATGGAAGCACGTGTTGATGAAAACCAAAACTACCAAAGTCCTGATGTTTGCTGAGGAAGAAAAACGGATGTAAGGATGAAAGGATCTGCCTTTCTGGAGATCTGTCTAGTTAATCCTTCTTGTCTCCACCAAGAGTGAATCAGAGGGCAAGTGCATAAATATAGCAAGGGAAGGAGAACTGGAGGCTGCTTTGCAAACAAAAACGTAAAATCAAATGAAAAGAGGCAGGTAAAGCGGAAAGCTGAATGCTGATCCAGCATCTTCTTACGTCTTTGTAAAGCCTCTGAAAATGCATTTTCACGGGAAGATGATACGTTTATGTGAAATATCCAAATATCGGGGCAGTCTAGGTCTTAGTACTAAATACCAAGAAAAGGAACTTCCTACAAACTCCTAGCTTTTTTGCCTTCTCTGGTGGCTTTTTAAAGGCGTCTGATTGAAAAGTTTTGGAAAGGGAGGAAGTGCTGTTAGTCCTCCACTTACCACCATAATTGAACCAAAAATTTATGTGGCTAAGTGAGACTATAATGAAGTAAATTTTTCTCCATTTTACACTCTTCTTGCCACAATTGTTAAGTGAATCACTGCAGTTGTTAACTTAATAACACGGCTGTTAAGTGAATCTGAATTTCCCATTGACTTGGCTTGTCAGAGAGTCGCAAAAGCTGATCACAGAATCCTGGGACATCGCAACCGACATAAATATGAGTCAGTTGCAAAGCGTCTGAGTTTTGGTCACGTGACCATGAAGATGCTGCAATGGTTGTAAGTATGAAAAGCCATCAATGAGTTGCTTTTTTCAGTGCTGTTGCAACTTCGAACGGTCACTAAACAAAGTGTTGTAAATCAAGGACTACCTGTACAATTTAATCTCATCCAACAAGCTCTTTTTCTGAACAACGAATATCTGTGTTAAAAGAGTATGCTGGTGAGCTAGATGTACCTATTTTCTTCCAATCAATCAATCTTATATAGATTCGTTTGTATTTTAGTTACATGTATTGTAGGATTTCTCCAACGGTTAAGATACTCAGCAAAATAAAACAGCACTTGCATAAAAAGAAAAGGAAAAATTGTCGGTAATCGTGATTAATGCAAAATATCTAACAAGTTAAATGAAGTGGTTTTTTTTTTTAAAGAACTCTTTCCCTGACAACAGACACCAGGCTAGTCATCCTAAGAAGGCATTCCACAAGCTAAATGGAATCAATTCATTCAGCACTGAGCCATGCCATCTCACACTAACCAGATATTATAGAAGATAGCTGACTCCATCAAGCCCAAGCTGGCTGCTATCCAGAGGTCATCCTATTTGGCCAGTGTATTGGAAAACAGGATGCAGGACTAGACACGTCTGGTTTGAATTTAAAGGCAATTGTCATTCTTTGCTGTCTCTGATGGCTGCAATGCCTGTGGTGCCACTTCTCTCTCTTCATTCAAAACACTTTTAAAATCTCACATATATATATTATATTTTTGTGAAACCTTTTGGGAGGACTTTTGGCTGTACACAGAACTACTTTCTTCCTGTATTTCTCTCAAATGTAGATTGTAAGCCATGGCAAAAGCTTTTGGGAAAGGAGCTGCACCAATTGTCCAGGAATTGGAATAGAATAGAATAACAGAGTTGGAAGGGATCTTGGAGGTCTTCTAGTCCAACCCTCTGCTAAGGTAGGAAACCCTATACCAGAGGTGGGTGGCTGACAGTTTGGCCGGATCACGCAAACTGGTAGTAGCAGCGGCGGGAGACTCCGCCCGCCCGCCTGCTTCTGCGTAAAAAAATTAGCAAACCCCCTCTGTCCCCAACCCCTGGTCTGTGGATCGGCACTGGCCGCTGCATGTCAGAAACTGAGCCACGCAAACAAGTGAAACCCATCCAAGGGATGCAGGCAGAATGTTAAACCATGCCCCTTCTGGCCCATGGAATAACCTCTCTCCGTGGAACCAGTCCC